TCAATTATGTAACTCGTAATTAATGATTCTCTTAACAATTTATATGGCATGAAGCTTAAATTATGGGCAGTAAGCTTAAACCATGGGCATTAAGCTTAAATCATTGGCATTAAGCTTAAATCTATGGCATTAAGCTTAAATCTATGGCATTAATTTCAAATTAAAATAAAAATCTGTTTATCGCACTGTTGAACTGATTGACCTCTGACCTTTACAGTGGGTAAAGGAGACAGGCTGGCCCTTTCTAGTTACTTGTAATAACGAAAATGACAACAGTTCTTGTTTGTGCCATTCACTGTCCTTAAATGACCTTAGCTGTTAAGCAGATGTTAAAAGCATTATAAACCAAACCACATTAGTTGTGGCAGGTTATCTCCCTTAGGTGGAGTATAGTACTAAACACTTTCATCAATAAACAGACCACAAATGAAAGCAACATTTATATATTATGTACATTAAAGGAAGACAACTATGTGCTGGTCATTAAGATAAACCCTAAGACAACACAAATATCTATTTGGGAAGATTATAAGGACTGACAAAACACATGGGAAATTTATAAAGACTGACATAACACAAGGGAAATTTATAAAGACTGACATTACACAAGGGAAGTTTATAAGGACTGACAAAACACATGGGAACTTTAAACTTACTGACAAAACACCAGGGAAGTTTACAAGGTCTGACTTAACACAAGGGAAGTTTACAAGGACTGACATAACACAAGTCAAGTTTATAAGGACTGACATAACACAAGTCAAGTTTATAAGGACTGACAAAACACAAGGGAAATTTATAAGGACTGACATTACACAAGGGAAATTTATAAGGACTGACATAACACAAGAGAAATTTATAAGGACTGACAAAACACAAGGGAAATTTATAAGGACTGACAAAACACATGGGAACTTTAAACTGACTGACAAAACACCAGGGAAGTTTACAAGGTCTGACTTAACACAAGGGAAGTTTACAAGGACTGACATAACACAAGTCAAGTTTATAAGGACTGACAAAACACAAGGGAAATTTATAAGGACTGACATAACACAAGAGAAATTTATAAGGACTGACAAAACACAAGGGAAATTTATAAGGACTGACAAAACACAAGGGAATTTTATAAGGACTGACAAAACACATGGGAACTTTAAACTGACTGACAAAACACCAGGGAAGTTTACAAGGTCTGACTTAACACAAGGGAAGTTTACAAGGACTGACATAACACAAGTCAAGTTTATAAAGACTGACAAAACACAAAGGAAATTTATAAGGACTGATATAACACAAGGGAAATTTATAAGGACTGACAAAACACAAGGGAAATTTATAAGGACTGATATAACACAAGGGAAATTTATATGGACTTACACACATTGCCTATAAAATTCAGGCAGCTAGACCGTAAGACAGGAAAGAAATAATGATGTTCTAACATCTACATTTGTATAAGCCTACATATAAAGAAACTGACATTGCCAAGCTTTTTTTTATAGAGTTAAAATTTTCACAATTTAAAGCAAAAAGGATTTGTTTTTTCACAGAATTCAGGAAACACATTTTAATTCTATTCTGCATTTTCTATTTTCAAGACATCTTTTTTTGGAATTTTATTCTATGCTTGATAAAAGCTCAAAATAGAGGTCCCCGAAAATAGCAAAATTTACAGCCTATGTATAAAGTGTAACATTAAGATGGTGTCTAAGGGGAAGGAATTTCTACAGGGGCTGGTTTACTGACAAATTGACATTATCTAAACTATGGTGACATGATATAGAGCAAAGGTTGTAATTTTTGTGGGTTTTTCTATTTTTCTGAATGGAATAAAACTGCAAAAAATTGATACCTTGAAAATAGAATTGACAAAAAAAAAAAAAAAAAAAAAAATTTGCTTTCCATGAAGTTTTGGTAAAACTGAAAATCTGAACCATGGTTAAAAACAAACCTGAATCTAATAGAGGACACTGCTATACAGAATGACCTACAAACCTCGTGCATCATCTTTGCCAAAATCTTTAACACTAGTATGTATAAAGAGAGACAAGTATACACTATAAATAGACCACCAGCCCTGATCCATATTTTTGAGACCTCAACTCTACACAGGGTGCATTTACTTATGATTAAATGTCAGCATAACTAAGACCGTGAAGCAAAAAAGATGCATTTTTGAAGAATTCAAAAAAGGGAAAATGCTTTTCTATAAAGAAAAAAATCATTTAAATTTAGGTCTCTGGTCAAGAAAACGCTATAAAGTTTAGGTCTCTGGTCAAGAAAACACTATAAATTTAGGTCTCTGGTCAAGAAAACGCTATAAAGTTTAGGTCTGTGGTCAAGAAAATGCTATAAATTTTAGGTCTGTGGTCAAGAAAATGCTATAAAGTTTAGGTCTCTGGTCAAGAAAACGCTATAAATTTAGGTCTCTGGTCAAGAAAACGCTATAAAGTTTAGGTCTCTGGTCAAGAAAACGCTATAAAGTTTAGGTCTGTGGTCAAGAAAATGCTATAAATTTTAGGTCACTGGTCAAAAAAACACTATAAATTTAGGTCTCTGGTCAAGAAAACGCTATAAATTTAGGTCTCTGGTCAAGAAAACGTTATAAAGTTTAGGTCTCTGGTCAAGAAAATGCTATAAAGTTTAGGTCTGTGGTCAAGAAAACGCTATAAATTTAGGTCTCTGGTCAAGAAAACGCTATAAAGTTTAGGTCTCTGGTCAAGAAAACGTTATAAAGTTTAGGTCTGTGGTCAAGAAAACGCTATAAAATTTAGGTCTGTGGTCAAGAAAACGCTATAAAGTTTATGTCTGTGGTCAAGAAAACGTTATAAAGTTTAGGTCTCTGGTCAAGAAAACGCTATAAATTTAGGTCTCTGGTCAAGAAAACGCTATAAATTTAGGTCTGTGGTCAAGAAAACACGATAAAGTTTAGGTCTCTGGTCAAGAAAACGTTATAAAGTTTATGTCTGTGGTCAAGAAAACGTTATAAAGTTTACGTCACTGGTCAAAAAAACACTATAAATTTAGGTCTGTGGTCAAGAAAACGCTATAAAGTTTATGTCTCTGGTCAAGAAAACGTTATAAAGTTTAGGTCTGTGGTCAAGAAAACACGATAAAGTTTAGGTCTCTGGTCAAGAAAACGTTATAAAGTTTATGTCTCTGGTCAAGAAAACGTTATAAAATCTAGGTCTGTGGTCAAAAAAACGCTATAAAGTTTATGTCTGTGGTCAAGAAAACGTTATAAAGTTTATGTCTCTGGTCAAGAAAACGTTATAAAATCTAGGTCTGTGGTCAAAAAAACGCTATAAAGTTTATGTCTGTGGTCAAGAAAACGCTATAAAGTTTATGTCTGTGGTCAAGAAAACGTTATAAAATTTAGGTCTCTGGTCAAGAAAACGTTATAAAATTTAGGTCTCTGGTCAAGAAAACGCTATAAAGTTTATGTCTCTGGTCAAGAAAACGTTATAAAATCTAGGTCTGTGGTCAAAAAAACGCTATAAAGTTTATGTCTGTGGTCAAGAAAACGCTATAAAGTTTAGGTCTCTGGTCGCTATAAAGTTTAGGTCTGGTCAAGAAAACGCTATAAAGTTTAGGTCTCTGGTCAAGAAAACGTTATAAAGTTTAGGTCTCTGGTCAAGAAAACGATATAAAGTTTAGGTCTCTGGTCAAGAAAACGTTATAAAGTTTAGGTCTCTGGTCAAGAAAACGCTATAAAGTTTAGGTCTCTGGTCAAGAAAACGTTATAAAGTTTAGGTCTCTGGTCAAGAAAACGCTATAAAGTTTATGTCTCTGGTCAAGAAAACGTTATAAAGTTTAGGTCTGTGGTCAAGAAAACACGATAAAGTTTAGGTCTCTGGTCAAGAAAACGTTATAAAGTTTATGTCTCTGGTCAAGAAAACGTTATAAAATCTAGGTCTGTGGTCAAAAAAACGCTATAAAGTTTATGTCTGTGGTCAAGAAAACGCTATAAAGTTTATGTCTGTGGTCAAGAAAACGTTATAAAGTTTAGGTCTCTGGTCAAGAAAACGTTATAAAGTTTAGGTCTCTGGTTATAAAGTTTAGGTCTCTGGTCAAGAAAACGTTATAAAGTTTAGGTCTCTGGTCAAGAAAACGCTATAAAGTTTATGTCTGTGGTCAAGAAAACGCTATAAAGTTTAGGTCTCTGGTCAAGAAAACGCTATAAAGTTTAGGTTTCTGGTCAAGAAAACGTTATAAAGTTTAGGTCTCTGGTCAAGAAAACGTTATAAAGTTTAGGTCTCTGGTCAAGAAAACGTTATAAAGTTTAGGTCTCTGGTCAAGAAAACGTTATAAAGTTTAGGTTTCTGGTCAAGAAAACGCTATAAAGTTTAGGTCTCTGGTCAAGAAAACGTTATAAAGTTTAGGTCTCTGGTCAAGAAAACGTTATAAAGTTTAGGTCTCTGGTCAAGAAAACGTTATAAAGTTTAGGTCTCTGGTCAAGAAAACGTTATAAAGTTTAGGTTTCTGGTCAAGAAAACGCTATAAAGTTTAGGTCTCTGGTCAAGAAAACGTTATAAAGTTTATGTCTCTGGTCAAGAAAACACTATAAAATTTAGGTCTGAGGTCAAGAAAACGCTATAAAGTTTAGGTCTCTGGTCAAGAAAACACTATAAAATTTAGGTCTGTGGTCAAGAAAACGCTATAAAGTTTAGGTCTCTGGTCAAGAAACACTATAAAATTTAGGTCTCTGGTCAAGAAAACGCTATGAAGTTTAGGTCTGTGGTCAAGAAAACGCTATAAAGTTTAGGTTTCTGGTCAAGAAAACGCTATAAAGTTTAGGTTTCTGGTCAAGAAAATGCTATAAAGTTTAGGTCTCTGGTGAAGAAAACACGATAAAGTTTTAATGTAGAGTTAAATGAGGACTTGCGCCCCTGACCTCTGGATAGGAGATACAGAATATACAAAAAATCCATGCAGCAGTGCCTAAGCTTTTTCCAGGATCAGAGACATTAGTTCAGAATTTCACTGCACAGTAATTTTCAGAGGCTGTCTGAATCCTCCTCATTGTAGTGCTCAGGAGCCTTGGCAAAACTGGGAAGCTTGTCCAAGCAGATGTGGGCGGAGTCCTCCAAGGCCAGGTTTGTCAGCTCGGTCATTATATTGGCGTAATCAGGACGATTCTCTGGAAGAGTGCTCCAACATCGATTCATCACACCATATCTATGTGAGAAACATATACAGTTGTGAAAATAATGAAAAACTGACATGTGTCAGGCAAACAGTCGTTGGTAAAATACTGAAAACTTCACGTGTGACGGGCAAACAGTCGTTGGTAAAATACTGAAAACTTCACGTGTGACAGGCAAACAGTCCTTAGTAAAATACTGAAAACTTCACATGTGACGGGCAAACAGTCATTGTTATAATACTGGAAACCTAACGTGTGTGGGGGAAACGGTCATTGGTTAAAAAATGAAAACCAAATTAATGTGAGAAATATGATCACTGGTTAATACTTACAACTCATCACTGCAGTGTGGGGGAGGAGGGAGGCGGTATCCATCTATCACCTTGTCTGGCAACTCATCCTGGCCAAATGCTGGGTAAGGCGTCGCCCCTTAACATAGAATAAAATTTAGTAATGAAAGTATTTTTGTCAATAACCTCAATGATCACAAATTGTAACAGTCAAAAGCTTTGTAGAGGGTTGTAGCATGAAGTAACATGTTGACTATATAGTAAGGCTTCATTAAACTCATGTTTCCTCAGCTTGGGACCTGAACTGTAGACTAAATGGAAAGGGACGTTTTCCCCATCATGGAAAAGTTGAAATGCCATTATTTGGTATGATGGGAAAGAATGCTGCTCTAACTGTGTGATAGTTGTGATGGAATAAGCTTTATTATAAGATGGTTGAAGTACTATTATGGGGTGGATGATGTACTATTATGGGATGGATGATCTACTATTATGGGATGGATGATCTACTATTATGGGATGGATGCTCAATCATTATGGCATGGAATTAACCTTTTGAGTGGATAAGTACTATTATGGGATAGATGCTGGATCATTATGGGATGGATATTGTACTATTCTCGGATGGATGATGTACTATCATGGGATGGATAATGTACTATCATGGGATGGATGATGTACTATTATGGGATGGATGCTCAATCATTATGGCATGGAATTAACGGTTTGAGTGGATAAGTACTATTATGGGATAGATGCTGGATCATTATGGGATGGATATTGTACTATTCTTGGATGGATGATGTACTATCATGGGATGGATAATGTACTATCATGGGATGGATGATGTACTATTATGGGATGGATGATGTACTATTATGGGATGGATGATCTACTATTATGGGATGGATACTCAATCATTATGGCATGGAATTAACGTTTTGAGTGGATAAGTACTATTATGGGATAGATGCTGAATCATTATGGGATGGATATTGTACTATTCTTGGATGGATGATGTACTATCATGGGATGGATGATGTACTATCATGGGATGGATGATGTACTATTATGGGATGGATGATGTACTATTATGGGATGGATGATGTACTATTATGGGATGGATATGTACTATCATTGGATGGATAATGTACTATTATTGGATGGATGATGCTCCATTATGAGAGGAGATATGAGTTACTTACCAAAGTGTAGTATCTCCCACATCACGATGCCTAGAGACCAGGTGTCAGACTGGGTACTGTACATATTATGGGCTAGTGACTCGGGAGCCATCCAGCGGATTGGTAAGGAGTCCTGAAAGGAATGCAAAAATACTGGATAACAACAAAAGAACACAGATAGTATTTCAGAAGACAATTTGGTAACTTTAACAGTTAGTTCATACTTCTCTTTTTGTTTTTGACAGAAAATACTATTCAAACTATCATTCCTTTAATTATATTATTCTTACATCATTTTACTATAAAAAATTAATTCAGAGGAAAAATATAGACACAAATTCAAACAAAATTTCTGATAATAAGTTTTGAAGATCAAGAGACCACAAAGTAGTGATACTTCCAGCCTCATATTTAAGGATCAAGAGGTGTTAACAGACTACTAAGTAGTGATACTTCCAGCCTCATATTTAAGGATCAAGAGGTGTTAACAGACTACTAAGTAGTGATACTTCCAGCCTCATATTTAAGGATCAAGAGGTGTTAACAGACTACTAAGTAGTGATACTTACAGCCTCATACTGGTTACGCTCTGTAACATCTTGTGGGAAACCAAAACCAGATAGTTTACATACGGCACCCTTTGCCACCAATACACTGGCAGAACGCAGTCTGTAGCACACCAACTGTAACAGGACAAATACATAAGGATACCAAACCGAAAAATTGGTTGGATGTAAAAATTGCATCTCAAATGATGTGAATCCCCCTTGTAATTCAACCTCGACTATGTGCAACAGTTTGTGAAGTTTGATCTAAATTTCTCAAGAAATGAACCGATGAAAAGGATATTCTGAAGACAGTTATGATACCTTGACCTTCAGCCTACAATCCATAACCTTGAACTAGATATGAGTTATGCATAAATATGTGTGACCTTCAGCCTACAATTCATAACCTTGAACTAGATATGAGAGTTATTTAGAAGTATGTGAAGTTGGAGCACAATCCATGTAGAAGTGAAAATGTTTAAGCATTAACAGATTTGGGTCTGATGTACGACACGACCATTGGGTATCATCACAATATCTACTCCTTCCCCCCATACCCCTGCGGCCCTGACTCTCAGTCATTCAGTCATTGTGGATATACAAGACTAGTATGTCAATACTTTTAAACCCTGTTAGCATGAAGTCTACTAACCACAAACTTACATTTACAAAGTCAATTTATGACAAGAGAAACAACTGTAAGTTAAATTTTTCCTACATTAAGCCCACACCAGGTGACAAACACATCCATCCATTTTCCTGTTTTGAAGAATAGTAAATCAATGATGCTATGTAGTTGTCCTTTAAAAAGCCAAGCTAATGACTTATAGAAAGGTGTTATGTGCTGACCTCTTGGGCTCATTACAGCATAAATATGGTTAAGGTGTTCAGCCAAGATTAGTTCATTCCAAGTACAAATGTGACTTATTGCTTACAAATTTATTTATTTCATTACCTCAAAAACAAAAGAGAATGAAGATGTTTCAATATTTTTTGTTGGTTTCTTTAATACACAATCCTGAAAATGATTCTCACCTTGAATTTTGAGATGTGCTGTAGTCCATTTACTATCTGTGCAGACATGGCTAACATTTTATGGGAGTCAACTTTGTGATTTTTGAGTCGTGCTGAAGACTTGGAGGAGGAAGTTGTGATCTCTACTCTCTGAGCGCCAGGGCGACACCTCTGAAGAAAGCTGTAGAGGGTGCCCTCAGATGCGTATTCCAACATCAAAAGCCATGGCTCTGAAATAAGTTTATTTAAGACTGTTTTGACAACAAGAAATCGTGAACTTACAGTAATTCTCCATCAATAATTCCATGTCCTGTAATAAGCCCACCCAAATCTACTGCAGTCTCAGTAGAAATGAAAATGAATCTATCCTGAGACAGAATAAATATTGAATATCCTCTTCAGGAAAATGACTGAGTGCTGATGGCCTCAAAATATGTCGGATCATAAATATTCTAATACACTCAAAGCAGAAGAACGCCAAATAGCTATTTTTAAAAAAGATAACAAAATGCAGATTATACAGGCAGGATATACATAAAAGAAACAACAGTCACCGCATTTTGATAACACAATAATGTGTTAGAATTGTACACAAGTACTATTTATACCACAAAGTCTGAACAAAGTCACAGTGTATCTGAGATGTCTCAGCCAAGCAGAATCAGAGACATCCATGTTACATACTTAGTATGTTTCTTATCACCATACTGTGAAATCATTAATTTTTGTGGGGCTTTTATTTTCATTCATTTGGTGGATACTCTTAAACAAGAAATTTTATATTAATGTATATATTAATTCATGAAATCAAGTGTCCTAGAAATAATATTTTGTTTGTAAAACCACAAAAATTAATCCCACAAAATTCTGTGATTTTAATGTCACTACAACCTTCTGAACGATGAATCTGATTAAATTGTTCCTATAGAACAAAATGAATTGCTGTAGAAGTGTCCGACAACCAAACACAAAAAAATCTGACATTAACTTTGATATCCTAATAAACACTTACAAATCAAAAACATCTGTCTATCTATATTCATGGAGCCCATTGGTGATATGATTAAAACCAGTTATCTAGGGTATTAGCAATGCTGATTAAGGCCAGCTACCATGGATTGTACATTGTATATATATGTACCATGAAGAGTGTAGCATCCGATCAGCTGTATTACATTAATATTCGCCTGCAAAACCTTGGCAACCTCCATTTCAGCCAGGAAAAACTTTCGTCCTTTCTCTGTTGCTTCAGCTGAAAATGGAAGAAAAAGAAGATTAAAGATACTAAAATATACACTTTTTTATACTTATCTACTAGTTTATGTGCATCTGACTGGCTTAATTTCTATTATAGAGCCAGCTCCCCCTATCTTATCCACAAATGGCTGAAAGATTATTTTTCTAACCCAGTTCACCTCCTTAAACTACGTAATTTTTCTTCCTTCACCAGTATCTAATGTTTGCCACTTTCACAATAATATTGTATGGTGGACATTGAAAAGACAAATTTTAAATGAGAAAGAAAAACATTATGTATTTTAATATCTTATTCTTCATTTGCAAAAAAAAAAAAAAAACTGGGCTAGAACTAGATATTTCAGCTTAAACACCAAATGGTGAAATTTTCATGAGGTGAGAAAAATCTGTTCTACTGCATACATACTGCAAACGTTGAAACGTTGTCGCTATCTTAATGGTTGACTCTAAGCATGATATTGTTGACATGTCTTTACTATGGAGAATCTAATCAACCTTAAAAGGTGGAACAGGAAATTTCATAACTTTGGATGTATCTCTCTAAGATAAGAAAATAATAAACTCTGGGTTATCCAAGTTATCCTAGAGAAAATATGTCTCAGACAGGGGAGAGGGGGCAAGCAGCCAGCAATGACTTTGATGTTACTTACAAAGGGTCATTAATCACAGCGTAACTATACCATAGATTGGCAATTTCCATACATGTTCAATGGACCATGAATGATTCAATGTAAATGGATCACTACAACAATTTCTTAATATGGTAAACAGGATAAGATAGAGCCAGCATCAGTCTAGAGCAAGTTGGTTAATAAATGGGCACTGCACGTTGGGTTTGGATACCGAATGATATGCAGGGCTATGAAATACAATATTAAAATTAATCTAAGTAAGCTTCAATCACAACATGCTTGGTGTGTATTTTGATTGAAACTTACTCGGATTAATTTCAAACTATGTTACAATTTTATGGATGAGAAATATCATTCAACATAGGCCTATTCTGTAATTATGGACATCTAGAAGCTTAATGTAGGGGTTTGGCTTAGCAAATCTGGCACTGACAAGCCAAACTCTTTCACCAGTGTTTATATAACCCTGTCAACAAAACTGATCTAGGTAAGATTTTAATAGTTTCATGTATGAGAAATGTTAGGCGAGTGTACACCTACGTAGAAGTTTTTTGATGGCAACCCTGATGACCTCGTCTCTATCTGGAAACTTTCTGATGCGTCCTTTCCATACTTCAACAAATACCCCACGTGCCAGGAGCTCTGACTGACGAATGTCCTTCCTTGGTATCTCCCAACACTGTCTCAGCTGGCTGTACTGGGTCGGCTGTCATAACAGTAAATACTTCATTACAGAATCAAGTTTTTAATTACTCACCTTGTGAAAAGACTATAAAACTATTTTTATACATCTAACATTGTTAAAATCTACTCTTAAAATTTCAACATATCTGAAAATGTCTGCAAATGTATAACTTTGTCTTTTTGACAAAACCTTTGTTTAATGTTGAAAATTTTTAAACATAGCCTCTGGTAACACAACAAAGTTGACTGATATTCATTTAAAATTCAATGTCGAACACCTACCCCTAATCCCTGTTACATACCTCTTCAGAACTTCTGGGTTGGATGTTCTCATCTAGCAGTTCTACCTCTTGATCATCCAAAAGTTCATCATGCATTCGTGAGAATCTCTCTTTCATTTTTTTGTCCCGTACCTGCAATCCATGATGTTTTCAATCAAGCACTAAATACTTAATAAATAAGTACTACTGACCTCAGCAGTGGCTATCCTATATACAATGCTATATCTTCTTTGGCTGTGTTTTGCCTACATCATTCTTAACACAATTGTCTTTTAGAGTATTTTTGGGAATAACCCTTATTTTATTATTTAAAAAAAAAAGCATTTTCTCAAAATCCCTGTCGTTTGAATAACTAATGCCTTCTTTTTGTATTTTCATTTGATTTTTTTCCAAACCCTTTGTCTGGGTTATGGATTATCCATTAGTGTTTTTCCCCAAATCATATTTAAATTCTACCATTATTTTTGGATATTAACAAGAACCTGCTTTTACACTGCTTACTAATTTTGAACATTGCACATCAACTGACCTTGAACTTCATGGCGAGGAATATAAAGACAATGATGAGAATTACAGCTAGACCAGCTGTAACCATGGCACCGACAGCATATGGAGAAACTGGAAATGATAAAATTACAGGCAATTTTTCACAATGTTGGTTATAAAGTAACAGTCTTCTGGAATAATTAAATGAAATTAAGTTTGACTTAATCATAACACAAGCAGGATTTACCTCCCTTCCCCCAATGCTAAGTAAAATATAGAACAGAATTTTGTCTGTTGTGATCAACAATATACATGAAAGTAATTCTTACAATATTAATCCTTTTTCTAAAATACTGAAACGTTATATCTAACAGCAAGATCAGAATCTATCACTTAAGTAAAATATTTCAAAATTCTTAGAAAACTTTTTCATAATTTAACATCTTCATTTTCTAGTGTGTTTCATCACCTATATTTTTAAGGCATAGTCTTGTTAGGCAGAGCATACCTTGAAGTTTTACTACACAACTAGATAGCTTCCGTTGAGTACCAATATCAAAGCAACACAGATCTGAGTAATCTCCCTTGAGAGTACAGGACAGAAAGGCCTCCCTTGAGAGAACAGACCCAACAGACTTCCTTAAAGCAATCCTTTAAAAGCCATCAGACTAGTACCATAATTTGCAACCCTTTCTTGTGAGAAGAAAGCAGATTGACCTTCCTTGAGGGAGCAGAACAGAGTAACTTCCCTTGACTTACTCTCTAGTTTAATGATTCCATTTCCCTCTTCTTTCTTAGAGTTGCCATTTTGTTGGTCATATGATGATCGTGAGTCGCTGCCCTGGTGAGCGATGAAGTACCGGTAGCCAATCGAGGGGGAGGTCTCAACTAAGCACAAGATTTCGACAATATTTAAAATAAACATCAGTGGCTTTTTCAATCTGTTCCACATTGTATAATGTTTTGTTCTTCAATTTCCAACAAACATTTAAACTACTATAAGACTTCATAAAGGCATAAGGTAGCCTCACTCCAAATGTCATGTGACTTGTGAAACTGCAGAATTTTACCACAATTAAAACATTTAAGAGGTATAAAATTTTGCCTAGTTTAATGCAGAGCAAATTCCCTGAAATTGGAACTCTTGTGAATAGGAGGTGCATTTCATTACCATAGATGAATGCAAAGAAATGACAAATATAGATACATTTGTATATAAAAAGTCATTATCCCTAAAACATTATGCACGAATCTAAAAGATCCTCAAACGTCAATCTCCAATAAAGAAATGATTACCCATCTCACGGAACTTTAATGAAGATTGAAGACAAAATCAGAATTGGACAGAAATAAAAGATTTAAAAAGATTTACAAAGGACGATAATCAACAAGAATAGATTACCGATGTAGACATCGATCATGACAAGCTTCGTCTTCTGGAACTTGGTACCGTTGATGACGTTTGTCACAGTACAGGCATAAGTGCCTGCGTTTGACGGCTGTGCATTCCGAATAGTGTAGCGACTGATGTGTGATACATCAATAGCAGGCCGACTCATGTTCTTTGGTGTGAACATCCAATGGTAACGAGGTGAGGGGTCACCTTTGGCGTGACATATGAGTCTAATATCTGTCCCTGATTTGAAATTGTTGTTATCTGTATATGGGTTTACCTCCATAGACATCAGGTGTACTGGCGCTATAACAAGAAAATACTTCTTAACAGTAAAAAAAAAAAAACAAAAACATGAACCACCTCCCAAAAATCTTTGATAAAACTGAATCTATTTAGAATATATTATACACATGTACATGATACTGATTTGAGATAAAAGAGAAATGAGTCCAGACTGTAAACTCAACCATATAAAGATAGGATACCAAAAGATATCCAAAGTCGTTCCACCTATTCCCTTTGAACAAACAAACAAACCCTTCCTTCCTTCCTTCCTTCTCACCCAATGTACTTATGAATTTTGGCCACTGACCTTTCTACCTGTATTTTTTTCCCCCTCTCATCCTATTTTTTTTTCAACCTTAACTCTTGACATCTCATTCTTCTGATGACCTTTAACCTTTATAACTGTACTCCTTGAACTATTATTTCTCTTTCTACTCACAGTAAACTTTGAGTGGAGGTGACGTTGAACAGTAAGATGAAAAGATTTTAGGATATTCAATATGACAGTAGTAGACATGGCCGTCGTCCTCGTATGTCGCCACGAAAGACATTGTTGATATCACATAAGTTGCATTGTGCTCGTATGTTGTTTGGTTGAGATGTTTATTTCCGTGTCTCCATGACAACGTGGGTGGCTTACTACCCATGTATTTGACATGACATTCAAATTTGGCCTGTTCTTGATTGACAAAATTCAGAGGGTTCTTAAGGTTCATACATCCCAACGAATCTGTAACAGACAGTTCATTTTTAATCTGTTTTCGTTAGAAGTTTTAGAAGTTATAGAGATCACAACATATACAACATACAAAATAAAAATTATTTAAAAAATTACTGGAAAGATAAGTCCAATTTGTGACCACAGGTTTCCATAGCTGATGTAAAACATTAATTATATGTGTAGACTGTTTCTAAATATATCTGTTAAAATATCATCTGTTATACACACCAACAACAAACAATTCAGCAGCTCCTATGGATCCAGAGCCCTCTATGACACAGGAGTATGTGCCAGCATCTCCAATCCGGACACCATCTCCAACCTGTAGGTGGAACACCATTAACTCGATCCCCGAGTTTGTTCCGTACTTATAGGGATCAGAAGTCCATGACAGGCGAGGTTTAGCAGATCCCTCACTCGTCAGATTTAAGATCTTTATAGACTGTGATGTATCCTGACCCAGCGGTGTGAAAAACCAGTCGACTGTGTAAGGCTCAACAACATCGACTAGGTCTAGCATTGGTGTCCCATCATCTAAGATATTGCAGGTAAACGAACGGTTGAATCCTATATAACCAGCAGCATTCTTTGGGGCACTAAGTTCCAGTTTTCCTGCAAATATCAAAATTACATAGCTTTATTATTTCAGAATGATCAATGTGGAGGAAATTCACAACAATTCTATCTTAAATTTTCATTCGATAAAATACTGGCCGTGTGCTGCCATATTTCATCCCAACTGTAACTGTAACAAAACCAAAAATTCATTGTCATCAAATCAAAATTTGACTTAAATATTACTATCATACATCTATATCTCTAACAGGTACATACCAAATGACATTTCTCTACCTCTAACAGGTACATACCAAATTACATTTCTATATCTCTAGCAGGTACATACCAAATTACTTTTCCATATCTCTAACAGGTACATACCAAATCAAATTTCTATATCTCTAACAGGTACATACCAAATTACATTTCTATATCTCTAACAGATACATACTAAATCACTTTTCTATATCTCTAACAGATACATACCAAATTACATTTCTATATCTCTAACAGATACATACCAAATTACTTTTCTATATCTCTAACAGGTACATACCAAATTACATTTCTATATCTCTAACAGGTACATACAAAATTACATTTCATATCTCTAGCAGGTACATACCAAATTACATTTCTATATCTCTAACAGGTACATACCAAATTACATTTCTATATCTCTAACAGGTATATACCAAATTACATTTCTATATCTCTAACAGGTACATACCAAATCAAATTTCTATATCCATAACAGGTACATACCAAATTACTTTTCTATATCTCTTACAGGTATATACCAAATTACTATATCTCTAGCAGGTAAATTCCAAATTACATTTCTTTATCTCTAACAGTTTAAGTGAAACAAGTAGAAACAAGTAGAAACAAAAATTATAATGAAATGATTAATAAGGGTAACAATATTATAATGTCCTGACCATAAAACAGCGGGAACATCAAAAATTGTCATTTTTATTTTAAAAATTGACTACTATCATCAGCGAATGCAAAACAGAGGAGTTCAAAGTGTCATTTTCAAATACTGAATTGTAATCAGAGCTCTAGAAAACTTTTTATAGAATTAGATTGTATGACAGATCTCACTAAAAAACACACATATGTTTGTATAATGTATCAGAGGAAGTGATAACAATGCCTTACACTGACATACAAAGTCAATATAATTTGATTATGATCCTACAATTTCCCTACGTATTCCCTGTGGAATCGTGCAGGATGCTGCACCATGTTTTCATAACCAATCGATAGTAAAAATAGAAACCATTTCTTTCCTTTTTAAAACCCATTTGGGAAAATCCAACCTTGATACAATATAACTACAATTTTACATGTGTTATATACACAGACCCAATTCTCTTTTCTATGTCACAATCAACAGTGGTCCACCCTTGTTGAAATATTGAGCCTAGGCATTCTGTATTGAGTTTCTTTTTCTAACACGAAAACATTTTATCGTCTAGCACCACACCTTTTTTTTATAATGGCAAGTATCTGACAGGCAAACAATGACAACAGAGAGTCTTATTGTGGTGTTATGGATCTCTGTGGACTGAAATGGTTTTTTGTAATTTCTGACATATATAGATTCTAGATGTAATAGCACAATTCTCGATCGGAGTAAGCTTTAAAAGATCAATCTCTCCTTACAATAGAGCTGGCATATAGCTGTTGAGGTCTACATGTACAGTTTGTCTGTCTTACATAGTGTTAAGAGACAATGCTACAGAGTGTAGAGAGCTAGTGGGGGTGAAGGTTACAGATACAGTGTGAAGGTCAATTGGGGGTCAAGATTAAAGATAGACTGTGGAGGGCTAGTGGGGGTCAAGGTTACAGATAGAGTGTGGAGGTCAATTGGGGGTCAAGGTTACAGACAGAGTGGGTGTGTGGTGGGAGTCAAGGTTACAGGTAGAGATTGGAGGTCTGGTGGGGGTCAAGGTTACAGATAGAGTGTGAATGTGTAGTGGGGGTCAAGGTTACAGATAGAGATTGGAGGTTTGGCAGGAGTCAAGGTTACAGGTAGAGATTGGAGGTCTGGTGGGAGTCAAGGTTACAGGTAGAGATTGGAGGTCTGGTAGGAGTCAAGGTTACAGGTAGAGATTGGAGGTCTGGTAGGAGTCAAGGTTACAGGTAGAGATTGGAGGTCTGGTAGGAGTCAAGGTTACAGGTAGAGATAGGAGGTCTGGTGGGAGTCAAGGTTACAGGTAGAGATTGGAGGTCTGGTAGGAGTCAAGGTTACAGGTAGAGATTGGAGGTCTGGTGGGAGTCAAGGTTACAGGTAGAGATAGGAGGTCTGGTGGGAGTCAAGGTTACAGGTAGAGATTGGAGGTCTGGTAGGAGTCAAGGTTACAGAAAGAGTGTGGAGGTCTGGTAGGAGTCAAGGTTACAGGTGGAGATTGGAGGTCGGGTGAGGGTGAAGGTTATAGGCAGTGTGTGGATGTCTATTGAGGGTCATAAGTACAAGTATAGTGTGGACAATTACATCTAATATTTCCTATAAAAGTTAATATGATTTTCAAGTACTAGAAAAGCTATGGTAACATTCCCTCATGTAAATATTAGAAGATATCTATATATATTCCATAAGGATACAGTGTTTTCTTTGGGGTATTAGATAAATCCATGACTATATAGGGTTGTATAAAGAGACGAGATGGGATGGTGTATCTAGCTAGAATAGCATGATGGGTAGCATTAATCATGACTTACAATCCCATATCACAGAAGTAGGCCTTGTTCACAGGAAAATGGGCCGCAGCTAATGGATCAGTGATTCGCATGTTAAGAACAATTTGACACCCAAATAGTTACAGCTCGAGCAGGAATTACAAAATCAATAAATTAAAATGAATTCAAACAATACTCCTCCAAGTTCTCTGCATAATATTAGACTTCCACTGGATCTGGACTTTCCCTGAATGTAAATCACACATAAAGGTCTATCTGCTTTTGTAGTTGGCAACTGGTTATCAAGTGATAGTCAATAAAGCTGATATCTTTATCTACAAACATTCAGCAAATAAACATGAAATAATATCAATATCAGTGAATTACAATAACTATTTTATCTATAACATATTCAAACACCTGGTCTTAAACACATACTCCTTTGATTTTCAGGATTCTGCTGGTAAACCTTTCTTTTGTTCTTAATTTGCGCAAGTTTTATCAATTTTTTGTTTGAATATGTACTTATGTACAAGAAATATATGGTTATCAGAAAGGAAATAAGAATCACAAGAACATCACAGAGTGATCTCCCTTGTCACATCAAGGGAGGTCACCCATAAGTCTAGACATAACTAATGGCCCATAATGTACTTGAATAGCTATCAAGCTTCCTATTTCTATATCATCACTGTATAAGTCTGTATCTAAAGCTCGTCATGATCATTCAGTAGAAATTTGCATGTCTATACGATATATGAGAAATTCCAAACATGTGTTTTGACTAACCCATTGATTTTTTCATGCAAGGCAACACATATCCATAGCTGTTTAATTGAAATTGTAAAAATGCATATTTGCAGTCTACAATCACTCACATCTGATTCAGTGTGTTGAATCGATTGTTTGTTCAATTTTATTTTTTGAGTGCTGGATAATCATTCTGGAATAAATTCCATTATCTTGAGTTACAGAAACAGAACTGCATGTTTACTTTATCGTTCTGAGAACATTATCTTTTTTTAATAGAAAAAAAATTCTAGAAATCAATATGTACTGTACACAAAGTGTAGCAGAGCTTCAGTGGGTTGAAAACATATTTTTAATAGTCTTCTTGTAGTGGAAGTCTTCATTAATTAATTCACTAAAGGTTACAGTCTAGCTGTAGTGGCAAAATGAATTCTAAGGTTTAACACAAAATTCTCTGCTATGTACAATAGAAATATTTTACTAATCCAAACAATGCTTAGTGTGTTATCATCCTATCAATATTCATTTTGTCCTGAATGATTCTCACACCTACTGTCGATGTCCCTGTACACACGAGGGTCCCAGTGCAGTATGGTCTAGATCTGGAAATTGATTTTCCTGTCACTAACATGGAATCAGGACAAAGTTGAGTTTTTAAATGGCAGCATTTTCAACATACAAATGCTTCCTTTTTTTCAAAATGTACAGGCCACATATATATGAATAAAAAAAGAGCTATTTTGCTTAGAGCGTCTTCCACAAACAGAAATGGAGATTCTTCAAGTATGGCAATCATGTCTAGTGACTTACATCTTCATTTCAAAACGTCAGGATATTTTCCACAAAAAAGAACAAGAAAATAGCGAGACAATCCCTTTATATAGCGTGTTAATTGTAATGGGACAATTTAGAAACATATTTATCATTTGTCCTGGGACTCGTAAGTAGATTAATCACTAGATGTTATTTAAATGCACAGGTTAAAAAAAAATCAGTTACTGAGGGATAGCTTTGCTGTGAAGATTTTCGCCAGTTCTGAAGGAAGTATATTTAGAGATCTGTAGCCTGGTAAATACATCGACAGAAACAATCCAACAGGGACACATTCACTGTAGTTGTCTTTAGAACAAGTCATCAACATCAAATCATTGAGTCTTCTCATCGACCACGTTTCCTTTACTGTTGCCGAGGCTGTCACTGTAGCAGGTTTTGTCCTACAGGATCGAGATATAATGATGCTGGCGTCCGAGGATCTGGCACCTAACGAGGCCTATTACTTCTACTCCTCCAGAGAGGCATCTTCTTTAATAACTGATTGTACATCCATTTCTACAGGCATTTCTTATCTCAGCTTAAGAGTTTACACAATGTATCAACATATGTCTAGTGATTTCCTTGTTAAAGACCCTGTTCTTATTCACGAATGTGACACTACAGATATATATCTAAATTTAAACAGCCTGTTGATCTGAAATTAAAATCCCTTTTTTGTTCATATTTTGCCCTTGTTTCATTGCTCTTCATACGTTCAATGAAGTATAAGTTGACATTTCTGTATTTTCATTAATAATTTGATACTTGTGTCTGTTTACCTTCAGTGTCATTACAGGTGATTCAACTTGTCACATGTTTACATAACCGATGTAAACAGAATTCAGATGACATCACATTATCTATTGATTTCTCTCAAGCCTAGAAGTCTCATTTCTCCTTGCTACCTGTTGGATCAGATCTGGTCCTATACATGCAGGGATAAGATTCTCCATCACCTGACAAAGGTTATTGCCCTTCAAATTTTCCTCTATTGAAGGAATCTATATATGTTGAGTCAGATATATCAGGCCCTATACTTTGAGGGTTACATTCCTCACTACCTGAAAACAGTTACCTCCCTTTAGATCTTCCCCTGGCCTGGGAGTTACATTTCTCCCTACCTGTTGAACCTGTCGCATGTTAACACGACAGTGTTTCAAATTTTCAAATAAGTATTTATATACCTGTGTATGTTTGGCAAACATTAATCTGACAGATGTGTGGATGTTAACAGATCAGACACTGTACCTATGGAAGTAAAATACTTTACTACCTGACAACAGTTATCTTCCTTTAGAGCTTCCTATAGCCACAGAAGCTCTGATGGTTCTGAGTCAGATGCTCCACTACCCACTACACAGCAACAGTTATTTCCCTTAGACCTGCCTACAAGTCCATCATCTCCCAACCTGTTTGGTCAGTTCTTGCCCTTTACCTATTGAGGTCATATCCTCCAGTTCCCTGGTCATTCTCTTTCTCTCTTTACTATTACCTTTTGGGACAGAATTATTCATAACTCATGATATTACTCTGAAATACAGAATTAGGATCTTTACTGTTACCTTTGGGGACAGAATTATTCAAAACTCATAATATGACTCTGAAATACAGAATTAGGATCTTTACTGTTACCTTTGGGGACAGAATTATTCCTAACTCATAATATGACTCTGAAATACAGAATTAGGATCTTTACTGTTACCTTTGGGGACAGAATTATTCCTAACTCATATTTACTGTTACCTTTGGGGACAGAATTATTCATAACTCATGATATTACTCTGAAATACAGAATTAGGATCTTTACTGTTACCTTTGGGGACAGAATTATTCAAAACTCATAATATGACTCTGAAATACAGAATTAGGATCTTTACTGTTACCTTTGGGGACAGAATTATTCCTAACTCATATTTACTGTTACCTTTGGGGACAGAATTATTCATAACTCATGATATTACTCTGAAATACAGAATTAGGATCTTTACTGTTACCTTTGGGGACAGAATTATTCAAAACTCATGATATGACTCTGAAATACAGAATTAGGATCTTTACTGTTACCTTTGGGGACAGAATTATTCCTAACTCATAATATGACTCTGAAATACAGAATTAGGATCTTTACTGTTACCTTTGGGGACAGAATTATTCCTAACTCATAATATGACTCTGAAATACAGAATTAGGATCTTTACTGTTACCTTTGGGGACAGAATTATTCAAAACTCATAATATGACTCTGAAATACAGAATTAGGATCTTTACTGTTACCTTTGGGGACAGAATTATTCCTAACTCATAATATGACTCTGAAATACAGAATTAGGATCTTTACTGTTACCTTTGGGGACAGAATTATTCCTAACTCATAATATGACTCTGAAATACAGAATTAGGATCTTTACTGTTACCTTTGGGGACAGAATTATTCCTAACTCATAATATGACTCTGAAATACAGAATTAGGATCTTTACTGTTACCTTTGGGGACAGAATTATTCAAAACTCATAATATGACTCTGAAATACAGAATTAGGATCTTTACTGTTACCTTTGGGGAAAGAATTATTCCTAACTCATATTTACTGTTACCTTTGGGGAAAGAATTATTCCTAACTCATAATATGACTCTGAAATACAGAATTAGGATCTTTACTGTTACCTTTGGGGACAGAATTATTCCTAACTCATAATATGACTCTGAAATACAGAATTAGGATCTTTACTGTTACCTTTGGGGAAAGAATTATTCCTAACTCATAATATGACTCTGAAATACAGAATTAGGATCTTTACTGTTACCTTTGGGGAAAGAATTATTCCTAACTCATAATATGACTCTGAAATACAGAATTAGGATCTTTACTGTTACCTTTGGGGACAGAATTATTCCTAACTCATAATATGACTCTGAAATACAGAATTAGGATCTTTACTGTTACCTTTGGGGACAGAATTATTCCTAACTCATAATATGACTCTGAAATACAGAATTAGGATCTTTACTGTTACCTTTGGGGACAGAATTATTCAAAACTCATGATATGACTCTGAAATACAGAATTAGGATCTTTACTGTTACCTTTGGGGACAGAATTATTCCTAACTCATAATATGACTCTGAAATACAGAATTAGGATCTTTACTGTTACCTTTGGGGACAGAATTATTCAAAACTCATGATATGACTCTGAAATACAGAATTAGGATCTTTACTGTTACCTTTGGGGACAGAATTATTCAAAACTCATAATATGACTCTGAAATACAGAATTAGGATCTTTACTGTTACCTTTGGGGACAGAATTATTCAAAACTCATAATATGACTCTGAAATACAGAATTAGGATCTTTACTGTTACCTTTGGGGACAGAATTATTCAAAACTCATAATATGACTCTGAAATACAGAATTAGGATCTTTACTGTTACCTTTGGGGACAGAATTATTCAAAACTCATGATATTACTCTGAAATACAGAATTAGGATCTTTACTGTTACCTTTGGGGACAGAATTATTCCTAACTCATAATATGACTCTGAAAT